ACAAGAATACTAAACTAAACTAATTATTATTTATAATACTAAACTAAACTAATTATTATTCATAAGAATACTAAACTAAACTAATTATTATTTATAATACTAAACTAAACTAATTATTATTTATAAGAATACTAAACTAAACTAATTATTATCTATAAGAATACTATTTATAAGAATATAAGAATGAATTGTAAAGAAACCCCAACTAAACCAAACTACTGTGTTTACAAGAATAGAATAATAAAGCAACAGCTGCTCGTATATAATATATAATAAGAACAGCTGCTTGTATATAATATATAATATATAATATATAATATATAATATATAATATATAATATATAATATATAATATATAATATATAACATAATAAGAACTGCTGCTCGTATATAATATATAATAAGAACAGCTGCTCTATATAGTATATAATATATAATATATATAATAAGAACAGCTGCCCGTATATAATATATAATATATAATAAGAACAGCTGCTTGTATATAATACATAATATATAACACATAACATAAGAACAGCTGCTCGTATATAATATAAAATATGAAAAATATAATATATAACAATAAGAACAGCTGCTCGCATATAATATATAATACATAACATAATAAGAACAGCTGCTCACTAACTGCAGCCAAAAGCCCCAACTAAACCCTTTTATTCACAAAAACAATTTGAAATAAAACAATTTCAAATAAAACAATTTGAAATAAAACAACAATTTGAACTGAAACAATTTGAAATAAAACAATTTGAAATAAAACAATTTGAAATAAAACAATTTGAAATAAAACAAGAACTAACTACAACCACAAGACCCCAAAAGAACCATTTTAATCACAAAAACAATTTGAAATAAAACAATTTCAAATAAAACAAGAACTAACTACAACCACAAGACCCCAAAAGAACCATTTTAATCACAAGACCAAAACAAAGACACTTCCTCCCTCTTGAGGACTAACAGGCCTCAAAACAAACCAGTAAAAGCCTAAAGTGCTGCTGTGTCTTCTAAACTATTCAACTTCAAATAAAACAAGAACTAACTACAACCACAAGACCCCAATTAGACCATTTTAATCACAAAAACAACTTGAAATAAATAAAACAACAATTTGAAATAAAACAAGAACTAACTACAACCACAAGACCCCAATTAGACCACTTTAATCACAAAAACAAAACAATAAAGCACAACACTTCCTCACCTCTTGAGGACTAACAGGCCTCGGAACAAACCTCCCCTTAGTGTCCAGAAGAAGCCTAAAGTGCTGCTGCGTCTTCTATTCAATTTGAACTAAAACAAGAACTAACTACAACCACAAGGCCCCAATTAGACCAAATTACTTCAAAGAAAAAGCCACTAATGCCTCACCTCTTGAGAACTGACAGGCCTCGGGACAAACCTGCCTTTAGTGTCGAGCAGAAGTCTGAAGTGCTGCTGCGTCTTCTCCAAAGAAATGACGTCCATGAAGCCCGCGGGGTAGCACTGGTCCGTGCGGACTTTGCCGTCGACGCGCACCAGCCGCTGCGCGACGATCAGTTTCGTCTCGCGGTAACTCAACGCGTACTTCAGTCGGTTCCGCAGCAGCACCGCCAGCGGCAGACACTCCCGCAGCTTGTGGGGCCCTGCAGCAGCAGCAGCAGCAGCAAAGCAGCAGCAGGTGCAGCAAAAGCAGCAGCTGCAGCAGGTGCTGCAGCAGGTGCAGTACGTGCAGCAGCAGCAGGTGCTGCAGCAGGAGCAGCAGCAGCAGGTGCGGCAGCAGCAGCAGCAGCAGCAGGTGCAGCACAGCAGCAAGAGCAGCAGCAGCAGGTGCAGCACAGCAGCAGCAGCAGCAGCAGCAGCACGTGCAGCCGACTTACCGGGGGAGGGGCGAGGGGCGTAGTGGCCCGTGATCTTGTCCAGCATCCAGTGGGATGGGGCGGCGAGCCGCTTCAAGTGCTTCTTCGGTCCGCGAGCCTGCGGCAGCAAAAGAAGAAGAAAAGAAGGAAATAAAGGCAAGTCCGGAGCCGCAGATCTCGAAAAGTTTCGAAAAGTTGCACGAAAAGAGAAAAAAAGAGAAAATCCGCAAAAATTCAAGTCCGCGGCAGCCCCGCAGCATGCAGTGGGGGGGAGAGCCCGGGGAGCCGATCCGCAGGAGAAAGCGGCGCCCCACTGGCCAGCGAGAAAGAATTCGAAAAGAAATAAAGTGGAAAAGCAAAAGAGAAGAGAAGAAGGCCGGAAAAGGAGTTTAAAGGGGAAGATCGGCCTTGGATCCGGGGAGGGTTCCGCGGCCGCGGCGCGGCTCCCGAGCCCTTTCCGTCGCCAAGTCCGAAGCCTTACCATCTTTGCCGGCCTCGGAGTCCAAGTGCTGCGCGAAAACGAAGAAAGAACAAAAAGCTGCAAAAAGTCTTTTGAGGTCCGCCGGGCGTTGCGCGCGGCTGCGCACAGTGTTGGGGTGTATGTACAGCAGCCCAGCCCAGCCCCGCAGCCAGCCCCGCAGCCCGCCGCTTGCATGCAGCCGCAGCGCGTCGCAAGAGTCTTCCGCTGCAGTTTTCTTTTGTTTCTTTTTCAATTTAATTAATAAAAACGCTTTTGTCGTAAACTGAACGCAGGCCCGGCAACGCAGTTGCAAGTCGCAGCCTTCCGCACTCTCCAGCAGCGCCTCTGCGGAGCTCCGGAGAGAGTTGCGGGAAGAGTTGAAGGAACTTTAAGACTTCCGTTTGTTTTGAAGTCTTTTAATTCTTTTTTCGGAGTTTTATTCATTTTTTTAGTTCTTTAGGGAGTTGTTCTTCCACTCTGCACTTCAGGTTTAGCAGCAGGAGCGAACTGAGGGGAGCCAAAGAGCAGCAAACGGGAGTTGAAAAGCTGTTTAGATCTTTTGCATTATTGCAGAATTCAAAAGAACCCCAAATGGCTTTCTTCGGGGTCTTTTCCTCTTTAAAAGCAGCAGCAGAAGCTGCGAGGGAACTGCTGGAGAGATAATTAGAAGATCTTTCATTCAAACTAGAAACAGTTGAATGGGTCACGCTGCTGCTGCTGCTGTGCTGCTGCTGCTGCTGCTGCTGCTGCGCTGCTGCTGCTGCTGCTTAGCCGTTTCGCCGCATAAAGCCTTCATTGGAAAGCCAAGAGCAGAATGGCAAATATGGAGGAAAAGTTGAAATTAATTTTTAAAATTCTTTTTGGACTTTGCATTATTAAAGAACTGCCAAATGCTTTTCAATTTATTTCCTCTAAGAGCCACATATTCATCTGGGTGTCTGTACACCTGCGTGTGCTACCCCTGCCGGCCTCCCTGCTTTGGCCTTCTTCTAGGGTTTAGGGTTTAGGGTTTAGGGTTTAGGGTTTTGCTGCATGCGTTTTCATCAAATCTAATTTACTGCCAAGTGCAAATGGCCCGCCTTGAGCTGGACGCGAAGGAGTTCAGTTTGAAAGATGAAAAGAAAAACAAAACAATTGAGAATAATTGTTTCAATTAATTAAAACAATTAATTAGTTAATTGAAACAATTAATTGTTTAATTAACTAATTAATTAAACAATTAATTGCCCAATTGTTTTAATTAATTAAAACAATTAATTGCAATTAATTGCAAAGCAATCAACTGCTTCAACAGAAACTGCCACCAGACAAATTCCTTGTAGAGAATTGTTGCAAAAATAAAAAAAAAAAAGAATAATAAAACAGCAGCAAATATATTAACTTTTATTTACGCAAACAAAAACAAACACTCAAAACCAAAGGCGAAACTCCAAACCAGCTTCTCCCACTCCAAACCCGATCAAGGGGGCCCCTGGGGGCCCCCCGGGGGGCCCCCAGGGGGCCTCTGGGGGCCCCCCGGGGCCCCTTTGGGGGCCCCTGGGGGCCCCCAGCTTTCCCAAAAGCACCTCTCTGGGTTCCCCAAAAGCGCCGTCTCCTTGAGGGCACCTTTGGGGCCCCTGGGGGCCCCCAGCGGTGCCTCCCAGGGGCCCTTTGCGGCGCCTTCCAGGGGCCCCCGGGGCCCCCAGAGGCGCCCTTAGGGGCCCCAGGGCCCCCCGAGGTGCGCGGGGCCCCCTGGGGGCCCCCGTGCGTTGAGGGGGTTGCCTTGGTGGGCGTTTGCGGCGATTGTGGTGCGTTGTTGAAAGGAGGAGGGTCTTCGTGGCAATTCGGTTCGATAACTCTGAATAAAAGGGATTAAATTCTCCAAAACCCTCAAAACTGGAGTTAATTTGGAGTTTGAAGAGGAGAAATGGAGCTTTTGTCCCGCCCGCGGACTCTGGCGGGCAGCGACAAAACGGCGGAGTCCGTCAGCAGCCGCCACTGCGAAGGCAGCAGCGCCGCCGCAGCCGCCGGCAGCCGAAAGTTCGCCAAGTCGCTGCCGGTGAGGACGAGGCGAAGAGAATGGCCGGGGCGGAGGGTCCAGGCGTTGGGTTCGAAGTTGAGGGAGACGTCCACGGTTTCGCCGCGCGCTGCGCGCACAGCAGATCGCAGCGGAAACCTGCGGAAAGCAGCGCCGATCCGCCTCCGCAGAGGCTGAGGACTTGGAAATCGTTTTTATTTTTAAAAATGCTTTCTAACGAACTCCTTTTTACCGTCAATCGCCCGGTTTTCCCGCCGGTTGAAGGTCCGCTCCACCCGCCCGTACGCGCCCACCGGCAGGTCGCTGCGGACTTGCAGCGGACGATTCGAAGCGACAACCTCCAAAAAGCACAAAATCGACACAAATTATTCAAATTAATAAACTAATTAAACCCAAAAAACTGGAATATCAAAGCGCAGCAGCAAGGCGAGTGAAACAGGCGAAAGAATTGCTGCAAAATCTGCAAATGGAACGCCGCGCAGTTCAAAATTCAAAAAAGACGAAACGCGCTGCTAAAACGCTCAAGAGAAACCCAACGAACGACAAATTGTGTTTTAATTGTTTTTAAAACGAGTTTAGAAGTCTGGAAGTTCAATTAAAAAGAAATTTAATGGCTTTCCACTTTGTCTGAATGCTGCAATTCAAATTGCGCGCCCACGCCATGCCGCACACCGCCAACTACAACTAAGCATGAACTAAAGGCATTCGCTGCACAGAACGCTGAGGGTTTAGGGTTTAGGGTTTAGGGTTTTGTGTTTCCACTAACAAACCCGCGGAGGCATTCAGGAAGTAGCAACGACGGAGTTCAACTTGAGAAGAAAACATGAAAAACGACACTTCGGAAGCAAACAATGAAAATCGGCAATCAACATTTAAATGGCAGTAAAAAACCAAAAATGAAATGTTTAAAAAGAAACAAAAAAGTGAAAAATATTAAACTTAGCAATGCGCAGTTCAGCAACTGGCTGCAGCAAACAGCGCTACGGAAAGTGCAGCAGCAGCAGCAGCAGCAGCAGCAGCAGCAGAAGCACCACAGAACCAACCAAGAAGAAAGCCGAGAAATCAGCAGAGCCTCAAAAAGAGCAGCAGCAGCAGAAGAGCAGCGGGAAGCAAACAAAAGCACAAGTGCAGCAAACCAGAAGAAGCCCAGGAAATCAGCAGCGCCTTACGAAGAGCAGCAGCAGCAGCAGCAGCAGCAGCACGCAAACCCCAGCAGCACCCAAAAACACGCCGAAGAAGCCCAGGAAGCCAGCAGAACCCCCAAAACAACAGCAGCAGCAGCAGCAGCAGCAGCAGCAGCAGGAGCAGCAGCAGCAGCAGCAGGTTACCTGGCCCTCGGTGACGTAGTGGGCGTAGCCAGTGTCGAGGTCGACGTCTTCCAAGTAGGCAAACAAAGTCAATTCGTTGCAGTTGAAAACTTGAATGGACAACTGGAGAAAGGCGCTGCCGACGAAGTCCGTGGGCAGCAGCAGCGGCGGCGAGAGGAAGGAGAGCGGCCTGGCCAGCTGCTGCTGCTGCTGCTGCAGGTAGAGGCTGCTGCGGGGCAAATTCGGGTCTTTTTCCGCGATTTCGGGCCCGTTTTGCTGCGCTTTTTCCCCGTTTTTCTCCGGAAACAGCGGCAGCTGCAGCACGGAAGCAGCCCCGGAAGGCTCCGCAGGCGGCAGCGAAGGAACTACTGTCAAACTGAAAGAAGGAAACTCTCTTTTAGGGTATAAACGGTTCCCGTAATTCACTGACAGCCGGAACGGGTGCTGCGCTATCGTCCACCGCGAGTACAGCCCGCTCGAAGACAAATATTCAACAACGTAGTCAAGATACTCCTGCAAAACCCCAAAAAAAACCGCGATCTCGCCGACTAGAAGCATTTACTTCATTCCAATTTTATTAATTTCAAAAAGAAAATCAAAAAACGCGCAATTTGATCCACAAAACGTCGAGACAAACCCCCGGAATGCGACACTGCGCCTGAGATACTTGTGCTACTCAACACCGCAAAGACTCCACAGTTAAAAGGCAAACAGCAGCAGCAGCAGCAGCAGCAGCAGCGGCAGCAGCAGCAGCAGCGGCAGCAGCAGCAGCAGCAGCAGTTTAAAATGTATAAAGAGGCTGCAAAAGCGAAAAGAAGCAAAAAGAAGAAAAGAAGAAAGCTGCACGAAGGCGGGCAGCTGCTGCAGCTCACTTGCATGGGCTCTTTGCTGCTTCTGGTTTTATTTTACTTTATTTATTTAAAAATAAATAAAGTATATTTATTTAAAAATAAATAAAGTAAAATAAATATTTCTTTCAAAGTTTTAATTGAAAGCCTTCTGCGTTTCTGCACTCACTGGCGAGCTGGCTGCTGCTTCTGTAGTCATCAGGTAGGCGTTGCTGTCGTGTTTGAAGAGCTGCTTCAGCTGCTGCAGTCTGCTGCTGCTTTTTGGATTTGTTTTGCTGCTTTGACTTCTTTTTAAAGAAAGTGCTGCAACAAAAGCAGCAATAAGTCGCCAGAGCCGCGAGGGTTTTCGTTTGGGGTCTTTGAGGAGGCCGAAGAGCTTCTTCAGGGGCGTCACTGCTGCTGCTGCTGCTGCTGCTGCTGCAGCGCCCGCTGGCTCCGCTGCTGCTGCTGCTGCTGCTGCTGCTGCTGCAGCGGGACCCTCCTCCTCCGCAGCCCCGTCCGCCTCCTCCTGCAGCTGCAGCAAACTTGCGTAAAGTTGCACGCGCTGTGTTATGTCATGCAGCGCATGCTCCAGCCCGTCTGCATGCGCATGCAGCCCCAAAACTTCGAGGCCTGCTGCTGCAGCAGCCGACACTTCTTCCGCTGCAGTGTACGTACACCCCAACACGCAGCAGCAAAGCCCAAAACTAAGCACTTTCGACGCCCAGCAGCAAGTCCCGAAGCATCCTCAGTGCAGCGCAGCAGCAGCAGCCAACACAGCAGCAGCAGCAAACACAGCAGCAGCAGCAAACACAAGCAGCAGCAGCAAACTCAGCAGCAGCAGCAAACACAGCAGCAGCAGCAAACACAGCAGCAGCAGCAAACACAAGCAGCAGCAGCAAACTCAGCAGCAGCAGCAAACGCAGCAGCAGCTGCTTGTTCATTTATTCTCCCAAGCAGCAAAAACCCTGCAGCGAGACGCCCCGTGGCTGCCCTTTGCTGGCGTTCGGACTCAGACAATTAATTATTTATTTATTTTAATTATTTATTTAATAATTTATTTATTTATTAATTTATTTATTTATTATTTTAAATTACATTCTTCAACTTCAGGAGCTTCTTTCAAGGGTTTGTTTGATAAATGAAAATCCAAATTCTGCATTTCTTCCTCCGGCGGAAAACTGCTCGAAGCCCGCCACTCTCCAGCACCTGTCTGTACACCCCAAAACGCAGCAGCAGCTGCTGCACCATTTGCTGCTGCAGCTCTGCTGCAGTGCCCACAACACAGCACTAGCTAGCTGCCAGCTAGCTAGCTAGCTGCCAGCTAGCTAGCTAGCTGCCAGCTAGCTAGCTAGCTGCCAACTAGCTAGCTAGCTGTTCACAGATGCCTGGCTGCAGCCTAGCTGTTAGCTAGAGCCCAGTTTGCTGCCAGCCAGCTGCTTAAAGGCCAGCAGCTAGCTAGAAGCTAGCTAGCAGCTAGCTAGCAGCTGGCTAGCAGCTGCCTAGCAGCTAGCTAGCAGCTGTCTAGCAGCTAGCTGGCAGCTAGCTAGCAGCTAGCTAGCAGCTGGCTAGCAGCTAGCTAGCAGCTAGCTGGCAGCTAGCTAGCAGCTAGCTGGCAGCTAGCTAGCAGCTAGCCAGCAGCTAGCTAGCAGGCAGCTGCCAGCTAGCTGGCAGCTATCTAGCAGCTAGCTAGCAGCTAGCTAGCTGCTAGCTAGCAGCTAGCTAGCAGGCAGCTGGCAGCTAGCTGGGAGCCGCTGGCGTGTGTCTGTGAGCAGGGAAACGAGGTGTCTGTACACCTGACGGACCTGCCAGTAATGGACGGGGAGTTCTTCTTCGGCTTTGCCCCAGCATTTGTTTTTAAGTCGGCAGTCAAAAAAGCGGAGAATAGTTTTATATAAATCATTTTCAAAACAAGAAAAAGATCCTCCAAAGGGGTCGCAGCTCCGCCGGCCTCCGTGGCTCCAGTTCCCCAGAATCAGCTGCGGCCTGCGGTGTACGTACACCCCAGCTGCTGCTGCTGCTGCTGCTGCTGCTGCTGCTGCTGCTGGTTTCTGAAAACGGCACTATTTGGGGTCGAAAGAAGCACCATTGCATGCAGAATCTTCTAATTGTCTTTTTAATTTCTCTTTTTTGCGTTTTTAACTTCTTTTTTGACATTTTAAACTTCTTTTTTGACTTCTTTTCCCCCTTTTTGAAAGCTTTCGCTCACCGACTCTCCGGCGCGTGCTCCTTCATGTACGAGAAAAGCCGAATGGCGCCGCGGGCTGTCGCCGAGTCGCAGAAGCCGCCCACCGCCAGCAAGCTGACCTGTTTGCATTTAATTAAATCAAATTAATTAAATTAAATTAAATTAAATTAATTTAATTAATTAAATTAAATTAATTAAATTAAATTGGAAATTAGAATCCAATTTGCTGCATTTAAACGAGAACTCCAGCCCGCGCGCCGCAGCAGCAGCCTCAACAAAAGAACATTTCAACTAAGCAGCACTAGCAGCAAAATAACGCCAACAGCAGCACTGCAGCAGCAGCAGCAGCAACACTGCAGCAGCACTGCACCAGCAGCAGCAGCAACACTGCAGCAGCACTGCAGCAGCAGCAGCAGCAACACTGCAGCAGCACTGCAGCAGCAGCAGCAGCAACACTGCAACAGCAATGCAGCAGCAGCAGCAGCAGCAGCAGCAGCAACACTGCAGCAGCACTGCAGCAGCACTGCAGCAGCACTGCAGCAGCACTGCAGCAGCACTGCAGCAGCACTGCAGCAGCGCTGCGGCACCTTTTTTTCGGCGAGTTTGTGCATGATGTCTTGGGTGACTCCGAAGGAAGCTGCTGCTGCTTCTGTTTGTTCGTCGAGTTGGATTTTGTCGTCATGGAATTGAACTTTTTCAACTGCTGCTGTCATTTTCCAGTTGGGTTTGTGGCTCCGAAGTGCATGCACCAGCTCGCCCTCGTGCCCCAGCACTGCGCTGCTGCCTCCGAAGGAAAACAGAAACTGCAGCAGCAGCAGCAGCAGCAGCAGCAGCAGCAGCAGCAGCAGTTCCACATGCTATGCGCACGCAGCAGCAGCAGCAGCAGCAGCCAAGGATCCGCCGCTGCCTGCGTGCTGCGGAATCCCCGCCTCTCCACTACCGCAGCAGCACCTTAGCAGCACCTTAGCAGCACCGCAGCAGCAGCAGCAGCAGCAGCAGCAGCAGCAGCAGCAGGGATTTACCCCGAGCAGCACGTGGAGGGGGAACTGCTTGGGGCTGCTGAGGATGTGCCTCCAGGGAGAGCCCGAGAGCTCGAAGTGGCTGGTGAGTCCTCCATAATCATTTAAAAAAGAATGGCAAATAAATCCCCCCGGAGCCACAAGTTCCTGCATAACTGCGAGGGGACTGAAGAGCGAAATAGCTGCTTCCAGCCCCGCAGCAGCAGCAGCAGCAGCAGCAGCAGACAGCCCCAGCATCCCGTCGTAAGACAAACCCCCCCCCCCACCCG